ACGGCCCGGAAAAAAAAAAAAAAAAAAAAAAAAAAAAAAAAAAAAAAAAAAGAGGAACTACGGTCCATAAACAGGCCCTGCAGCGGCTTACCCCCCAGTCTCAGACCCTACACTAAATTTGCTACGCATCGTCAAACTCGTACACCCTCACAGAGCCCAACCTACCCAACCCCTTGTCTGTTTCCTGGTTTCCTCGATGTCCCATATATTAATTTCAGAGCCTGCTGCAGGCATAACACACTGGAATCCCCCACAGCCTTGACAAATTTGGGCAAGGCACCAAGAGAGAGAGAGAGAGAGAGAGAGAGAGAGAGAGGTGGACATCCCCGTTTTGGTTGTTACCTTGACTCTGGGTGTTGCAGATCAGCTGGAGAAACTTTGGCTGTAGAAGGCACGGAGGCTCGGCGTATCATACCTCTCTTTGAGAAGATGCTGAGTGCAACGGATGCAGGTCGCATAGGACGCCTTGTGCTTCCCAAGGCGTATGCAGAGGTATTGTGGTTCTGATTGTCTAGATCATTGGTGATGCTGAAGATGTTTGATGTGTGAAGTTTGAAGTTTGAACAGATTTATTTACACATATCTTTCTCAGAAAATCGAGATCAACTGTGGAAACGTTCATGTGATTTGCATTATCCTACATCATCGGTAATGATCTGTATCAAAGGCCTAAGGTGCAATGTCAAGATGATAATCAGTTTCATTACAGAAGGCATATGGTGTCTGCAGGACCTGTCAGGATCAGCATATTTCCTCCATGTAATGTGATAATGAGGTGTAAGAACACTGATAAAGCAGTGAAACACCCTCGCAGACAACGATAACTGGTGTGGCATATGGCGGGCCAGCTTGTTCAGCTGAGTCTCATCTGCGCCCTGCTCCTTTGTCTGATAGACGTGTATGCATGGAGTTCGAGGACACAGTTTCCAGATCTTGTGGCATGGGCCATGCAAAAAAAACACGCAGCAAGCTTGGATAGACATATATGGCTCTTCAGTCTGGACATCCGTTAAAATTGGAATGACAAGAGAAGTATAGTGTTACATGCTGCGCCTGCACACTGGCCCCATTTGTAGGGCCCGATGGTTGCTGAGGGGCCCCCAGGCCGTGTGCCCATCAGACACGCGCCCTGGAGGCCCACGGCGGCCTTGTAGGTCACAGATACGATTTCAGGCAGCATTTGCTTGTTTATTTATTTATTTATTTATTTATTTATTTATTTATTTATTTATTTATTTGCTGTCCTATTTTTGTCTGTTCAGAACGTCGTTTTGAACTTGCAGCCCCTAAGGCACGACCTTGGGCTGGGTGCACCAGAGGCAGGGCCGAAAAGAGGCCAGGCACGTTTTTGCGCCTTGCTGGATCAGAACCATGGTCTGGATGCCCGGTAGAGGCCCAGACCGGGTGGGCCATTTTAGGCCAGCCTCAGAGGCGCGCCCAGCCAGGCCCAGCACTACTTATAGCTGGGCTGAGGCTGGGCACAGGACAGTCCGAGTAGCTCACTTCTAGAGCGACACGCTGCTGGTTGAAGGCTGCGCTACTTAGCGCTACTTTGAGAAGGTTAGGGGCAGAGAGCAGGAGGTAGAGGGGCGGAGGTTCTTACCTGCAGCGGCGGACTTACCTGGCGCCATAGCTGGGACTCTGCACGCCACCTGCACAGGACAATGACGACACGGCGGTCAGTGCACGGCAGCAGTTACCTGCAGGTGAGACAGCGAGGAGGAGGACATCTTCTTCTTCTTCCTCGTCTCGCCCTCCATCTTATCTCCATCTTTCCTCCTCCTTCCTCCTTCCTTCCTTCTTCTTCTTCTTCTTCTTCTTCTTCAGATAGATAGAGAGACGGTTAACGGGGGTCCAAATATTCGCCGTTTTCGTTGGCAATTGCGGTGCGAATTTCATCAAAAATTTAAAAAACACACATGACGTACCCTAAAGCACAGGCACCCTCCTCATCCCGACACTATATGTCCATTTTGTGGCCACGGACGCTATGCTGAATGCATGCTCTTTTGTGGGGGGCGTTCTTCCTTTATTCTGGCCTGCAATAGACATGCTATTTGTCAGGAATGTATGGTTAGCATGCTTAATGCCAGCCGTCGTGGCAGTTGTTGTTTTGAGAATGCTCAGTTAGGTCTTCCATGCGCTCATCCACCCCATCCTTACAATGTGTGTCCTTTCTGTCGTCAAGGACAGCCTCATTCTTGAGCTTTTCCCTGTGTTTAACACCTTCCCCTTCACTCTGCCTCTCTCACAGCGTGCAAGTGGGCTGTTATGGCATACGGGGATGGGGGCAGCTCGCGCTCAACTTCATCAACGTGGCGAGCCTTGCACGTGAGAGGCACAGTGGAGGTGGAGTTCAAAGAAGAATGAGAAATTTAATGGTTTCAACCTGCCCTTGTTTTTTCTTTTTGTTTTTATTTTTATTTTTATTTTTGCCTGTTATCACTGTGCCCGTTTTTTGCTTTTATTCTTTGTTCCGCAAAGTGCGCTCTTTTAGTTTGTAGTGATGTGACAATATATATCACACAAAAAGAAAAACAAGAAAAAAAGCAAAAAATCAGCACAATATTACAGTTTCAGTGCAATTTGGTGCAAAATTCGTTGAAAATAACACCCCTGGTTAACCACGTGTGGATAGATAGATAGATAGATAGATAGATATATTTATATATATATATGTGTATATATGATGAGTCGGTGAAACTCCGACGAAACAGTTTGTCACAGCCCCTCGTTTGTTGTCCTCTTCTCTCTCTCTGCCTACGGTTTTACCGGGCAGTTCTGTTTGTGACGATATATATATATATATATATAGAGAGAGAGAGAGAGAGAGAGAGAGAGAGAGAGATTACTGGCAGAGGATACAGGCAGAGGTTACAACGGGCATAGCGCCCGGGATCTGATCCGACATTTTTGAGGCAGACATTGATGGGACATTTGGCAAGGGACTATCTTTGGACTTCGCTATCGCGATCTTGGTGTTTTCTCTCCGCTCCTTCATCGTCTCGCCTCTCCCCCCATCTCTCATCCATGGTACCCCCACCCCCCTTGTGTGCAGTCAAGGAGGGACCTTTCTTCTATGTATGCAGGTCCCTCCTCCTCCTCTCATGTGTGTGGTTTGTGATGGGATGTCGTGTCAGTCCTAGTCAGGTTAGTCCTTATCTTTAAGTCTTCCACTGCGCTACTTTGTGCCATTTTGTATGTATCGGGATGTACATTGCTTGATGATGTTTGCATTGTCCATTCAGTCCTCTTCATCACATTGCGGATCCTTGGCTCCATATACATTGCCCAACCGGGCATGTATCATCTAGCCTGGACCCAACACAAGGATGACACGCGTAAATCGAGAATATGTAAGGTGTAAGCCTATAAGCATCTGTTGGTGGTTGCTGTGATGTGGAAACTTGATCAGTATGAAAACTTGAGTTGTGTTCACTTTTTACTAGTTTTTAGAGTTTTTTGTGATTGTGCACATGACAACCTGTCAAGCTATCGCATAACATTCTGTCGAGGAGAACGACCCCAGATCTCCGTCGTTCAGGATGTTTGGGCATCTATCCTTTTGACTGCCATTGATCTGAATGCACCATTGAAGTCAATTGTATTTTGGTACCAGCTCCAGAGTCCAGAGGCATATCCTTAGGCATCCTGTCTGTGGAACAATGATTAGTGAACAAATTTACTGCACGCAGAAATGGCAGTAATGTACTCAGCCCACAGGGGATAAACGGTGTGCTATGTGCGAAAATGGAATTCAAAGCAGACAAACGCCGAACCAGTAGCAGCTGCGTTGATGGGAAGTTGCTGTGTGCAGAAATAAAAGCTCTATACTGGGGCCAGAATGAGGCAGAGCACCACCTGGTGAATATATGGCTTTGACCGCCTCTTCTCTCTGAAGCAGATATAGTCTGAATCTGATATGGCTTGGGGTGGTATTTGGCTGCCTCTTCTCTTTGAAGCAGAAGCTAAGGACATTGCAAGCATGATTCTGCAAAAAGCAAGCATGGAACAATGTCCTCTTTTACACTTGATGCTATGACTTGGAACCTGATGTGGCTTGGGGTGGTGTTTGCATGCCTCTTCCTGTTTGCACCAGAAGCTAAGGACATTGACAGCATGACTCTTCGAAAAACAAGCACGGAAGGGTGTCCACAATTCTGTTACTCTTGATGCCGTGAAGCCATGAGCAGAGCCATGAAAACCATCACTCCATGGGCTCTGTGGAAATTCAAATCTAAGTGCTCGTCCTTAGATTGGAACGTGTTATCGATATGGAAGGCCATATCTCCAATTCATGAGCTCTGGTGCTGTGGTGGTGTGTTTCCGGCATGAGGAGGTCAACTGCTCATAATTATAGCTGCGAACATGAATTTTAGGGGATGTATTTGCGAAGGCACGCTTCTAGCGACTAGGCAACCAATTTCATTTAATTTGTATGTAACTAATGGCAAGCAGTTGTGGATAAAGACGATGATGTGTCTCTATCTCATGACCGTCTTCGCCCAAGGATACCCGGTCGTTATTGCTGTACTGAAAGTTTACGAAATACAGCTGTAATTACCGGCGTTCTATTCGAGTGAAGACGGTGGTGGTGTTGCCTTGCCATGCTGAGAAGTATGAGGCAGGTGGAGCACTCGAGAAAGATGATGAGCTCTCTCTCTCTCTCTCTCTCTCTCTCTCTCTCTCTCTCTCTCTCTCTCTCTCTCTCTCTCTCTC